CACAGGAGCTGCTGAAACAGTTCTACTCCGCCATCATTGAATCCATCCTCTGCACTTCTATAACTGTCTGGTTCAGATCAGCTACCAAATCTGACCTCAGAAGACTACAGAGGGTGGTCCGGACTGCTGAGCGAATCACTGGTACAAACCTCCCTTCCCTCCAAGAACTGTACTCATCCAGAGTGAGCAAAAGGGCTGGCAAAATCACTCTGGACCCCTCACATCCAGCACACTCCCTCTTTGAACTGTTGTCATCTGGTCGACGCTACAGAGCACTGAGCACCAGAACGACCAGACACAGGAACAGTTTCTTCCCTCAGGCAATCCATCTCATGAACACTTAACAATAACTGTGGAACACACACTATTTATACACTCATACACTTATTTATCTAACACACATACTCAGTCTACACCTCAAATTTGCACATAATATACCTGTACATACAAAACTGTCTATTGTAATATACCTGCACATACAATTGTCAATTTATATATTTTTATTCCTTATTTACTTGTTTTATTTTTTATTTATTTTAATTTTTTATTATCTGTGTTTTTTGTTCTGTCACTGTCATTCTGTTACACTGTGGAAGCTTCTGTCACGAAAACAAATTCCTCGTATGTGTAAACATACCTGGCAATAAACTTCATTCTGATTCTGATTCTGAAAATTGGGTTAAATGTTTAGAATAGAAATTGTGCTTCAGTAATTTTGTGTTAATTGCGTAAAAATATTTTAACGTGTTAAGGATTGTAAAATTACGCGTTAACGATGACAGCCCTAATATATATATATACATATATATATATAATTATTTTTTTGTTTTTGTTTTTTCATTGTGTATCTTTAAATTATTTAGGTTTCATTAACCTAAAACATTGCATATTTAACACTGCTTTTATACACATACCACACTGTTCGTGTTTTGTTTAGTTTACATATTCGGTGGACATATTCAGTTTAATATTTTATAAATACACACATATATGCATATACAATATATACATATGAAATGGCCCCACAACGTCAACATTTTCATGATTTTCATGATATACTACTTTTTTGGGGACATTTGATCCTCAAAATGTAGGTTAAACAAGTACACACACACACACACACACACAGAGTGGCCCTCCCAAAAATATTTAGACACTTAAGACACAGTAAAAAGCATTATATAATAAAATATGATATAATGAAATATCAAACCATGTCACTTAAAATAAATAAATAAAACAAACTATGGAAAATTATTAAGCTTAATAAGCTTATTGTTAATATACTGAACTATACGTTAAAATAGTGTTAATATTAGTATTGTGTATTATGCAAATACAATATTATTATTGTATATATTATTATTATTATTATTATTATTATTATTATTATTATTCATATGAACTACACCAGTGTTTATTTCATATATTAAAAAAATTACCGTGAGACAAGTTGGTAAGAAATAATTCAAAGAGTGGTTCGAGAATGTGAAGATAACGTTTGATATTTTGTATCTACTGTAATACCAAAAAGGGAAAGAAAAAAAATGAGAGAAACTGAGATCAATTTGAGCATGATTTAAATGTCCAAATGCTTTTTGAGGCCACTGTATGTGCAATACAGGGGTTAAAGCAGAAAAAAAATCCTGAGCCTGAACTTTTCTCTGGGTGTAGGGGGGGTGGGGGCAGCACATGCAAAGCATGCAATGACTGTGGCAACTTTAACATTTGAAAGGATACTACGGCAAAGTTATCGCTTTTCTTATTCAAACTGATTTTTTTTTTTTTTTTTTTTTTTTTTTCTTGTAACACTCCAAAGAAAGAAAAAATTGAAATCGCATCATATGACCCCTTTAAGCAATTCAAATTCACAGCATATACAAAGGAAGAGTTTAGCCCCTTTCACACATACAGTCTTTACAGGTAAATTACTGGTAAGTTACCATTAAGAGATCATGTGTGAACAGGACCTTTTCAAAAATCCCGGTAAATTTGTTCTGGCAATCATATCATTCTTATGGAGATTACATAATTACTCTGAGCTGTTTAAAGCTCCGCTGCTTTTTAATTAGTTTTTCTATGTAAATATGCCCAATATTTCAATTGAATATTCTCAATTCACCAGGGCTGTGACTCTGCAGTTGGATACTATTATGCACGTCTCGTGTTTATAAGAGCAAAACAATTTCATTGGCTAGTAATGCTAGTTTGGTTGAGAGTGAAAGCTGTGCTCCTCGAATACCATTGGTTGGCAAACTCATGGACTCGAAAGTGATATCAACAAGTTTTTTTTTTTATATGTAGGAGTATTTTTTTCCGCAGCCAAACGCTGCACGCCGGAGATCCGGCACGGTGCCGGAGAACTTTAAGCCCTGGTAATACAAATATAAATAAAATATTTAACACTTTGACCGTGTTTTCTTATTACATGGTCAAAGAAATTAAGAATTATTCAGTACCTTCTGACCAGCGATGATAACTTTGTCTCCAATGTGAAGTCCCATACTTGAAAGCTGGGCACGAGCTTTGTCCGAGAGGAGACCTGGAGGCAGGAGAGGGAGGGGAGAGTCGAGCCTCGGGAGGACCTCCTGCAGCAATGAGCGCAACTCTTTAGCCTGGACCGCGGCATCAGCTATTTCAAGATGCATGTCTAGAGGCTCTGGAACAACATCATCCGGACACTGGCCCTTATCATTCTAAAAAGATAAGGCAAGTAACATTTGTTAAATGGTTTACTGAAAACATGTCCAAAAAAATAAAAAATAAATAAAAATAATTATATATATA